AGGCGTGCTTGTGACAACTCGTCGATAAAAGATCGCCGGGCACTCACCGCACATTCACCGACTTGAAGTTCGCTGAATGGATACAAAATGGATTTGGAATGTAAAACGATATTGCCTTGACGTTAGTTAGTCGAATCCGCGCCCTTTCCGGGAAACATATTTTAGATGCCGTCAATGCTCACCATTTAGATGTGTGCCGATAATAGCGCCTCAAAGGGGTGAGGGTATATAAATTTTGTGAGGGTCATGACTGGCCTAATAATGATAACACACTTGTCAAAAACAGTTTTGCAAATTTACAGTTGAATTTGGTATCTCGAATCCGAAGAGAGAAATTAACTCTGAAAGAATACAACTGATGAAGGGTGAAGGTGGCGAAAACCCGAGTTAAACAATTTCGACTTATCGAGATTCAATTTGCCAGTGGAACATTTTTAACAATATTGCCAACAAAATATATATATATGGTTGTGTGTGTGAGTGTCCAAAAATTATGTTGGTAGCAGCGAGTAACAAAAAGAAACCGTAACTACCGCATTCACACAATCCTCACAATGTGAGAGTGTTGTCCTCTTCACTTGTTTTTCTAGCTATCTGCTTGCTACCAACATTTATGCCATTTTTAATATGGAAGCCCTGACTCGACCCAATGTTGAGAGGCTATTCAGGCATGACGCAATGTTGAGAGGCATGTTATTGTAATTATTATTATCATACATATTTAATTATCATCATTATTATCATCATTATTGTATTATTATTACAAATTATGTCACTAGTTTTTGTAACTATTAGCAGATTAAATTTTCTCAATCTATCTACGATGCGAAGCGGAGTGGGGCCATAGCCCACCACACGCCCGCGCCGCGGTCCAGCCGCTCTCAGTGAGAGGAAGCAGGTGGCGCGTCGGGCCGCCGCGGATCTCGTGGCGGGCGGGACGGGACGCATTCCGAGATACGATCTCCGGCCGCCGCCGCCTCCGACCTGCCCCCGTGGGAAGCGGCGGACGCGCGCGCGCGCATTCCGAGGCCACGCAGCCGAAAAAAGCGCCTTCGAGAGTTCTTGCCAGTTTTTAAACGCGCGCGCGCGTCGATCTGACAGGGAGGAGGTGGGCGAGGAGCACGAGTGGCAAGTTGCGAGGCCGGAGTGAACCGCGCCGCTAGAATACTGAAAGTTAAAAACTAAGTCTAGGCGACGAGAGAAAGTAATATCCAATACAACCAAACAAAAACTACAGGAAATAAAATATTTATTTGAATTGATAACTATATTGCGTTGTGGCTCCTAGATTCTTGATCTCCGAGTTAGAATGATTATACATTTTTTAATGTCATTGTACGATTATTTTTATCGTTATAATTTCTAGCCAAGTTTAGTAGAGTAGTTTTGGTGTGTAGTTGAATTTACGATTGATGCAAGTAATACATCGAGAGAAAATTATTCTTAAATGACTACCGTTTTTAGAACCACCGGTCTACTCAGAAAGGCGGCTTTAGAGGGGGAAAAACCTGTCGCTCTAGAACATTTAAAATTCTTGTTTCCGTAACGGGAGATTCTTTTGTCGTCAGGGGCGTGAAACATTAGTCGCTATTGAAGCGGGAATTTTCTCAGCCGAGCGATACTGCGAAGTGAATTTACAATAAAGCAAGAAATGCGAGCAGCCGCCGGGTTTCAACTGTCTACGAGCGCAAGTGGCCTTTCCGAGACCGAGAATGCCAAGGCCCTGTCATGAGGCAAGGCGATGTTTCACAGTTCGACGACGTGATAGCAAAGAGCACGTTGATGTCTTGAAATAACAATTAAAAGGTTTACAATACTGTTTTTCTCGGTAATCATTCGTTGGAATTACGCTTCATTGCAGACTTGGGTTAGTTTCAATAATTATTATTTGATAGGGTAATAATTAAGCAAAAAATGATCTTGGTCCATTTCTTCTTAGTTTTATTATTAATGAGTCCAGAAATCATTATCAACAAGAGTTGGAACCGAAAAAAAATTTTCGTTGTCTGCTGAGAGCAATAAATTTAAAAACGCTACGAAAATACGTAACTATTGAGGTAAACTCTCACATAACGCCATCACTTCATCGTAATGAGGTCTGAAAATATCATGCTGTCAAAAATCACGCAACGGTAAGAGAGCTCTTAAAAGCGCAGAAAGTAACAGCAATAGCGACATTTTGACATAAAGAGTTCCATGTAAACACGACCAGGAGGCAAGAAAATTCGCCGAAAAGCTCCAAGTAATAAAGCGACTTAACATAAATCACGATGTTTACGCCAAAATAAATGGAACTGGGCGAAGAAAACAGCGATAAAACGCCGCGGTAATAATGGAACGTCGCAACTCTTGCGGAGGAGGTCGCGAAGGCAGCGGCGTCTGCTCTGTTTGTTATCCGAAACTGTCAAAAACGACTCGCGGAGAAAATGGAACGAGCCTGGTCGGCGGGGAAGGGCAGAAGCTAATGGAACTTCGGGGCCCCTTCTCCAGGCCTTGGCGTCCGCCAGCTCTTCGGGGATTCGAACCGCAACCGCTGGGGTGAAAGGTGGGTGTTGGGCGGCGAGCACTCAGTCTGACGAGGAGGAGGGAGTGAGAAACACCGGTCGCAGTGTGTGTGTGGCGCGGCGTGTGCTAGAACGGGAGAGCGTCCTAGTCAGTAGGTGTGGGTGTGGGCGTGGGCGTGTCAGAAAGACACACACACACACACAGAGAGAGAGAGAGAGAGAGAGAGAGAGAGAGAGAGAGAGAGAGAGAGACAGAGACAGCATGTTCTAGAACGGGCGAGCGTGCGAGTCAGAGTGCGAGTGTGTGTATGTGTATGTGTGTGTGTGTGTGTGTGAATGAGTGAGTGAAGCTCTCGTTGTCCGCGCCCCGTCCGTCACGGGTCTCGAACGCGCCCATCTTGTCGGCGGCCGCGGCGCCCCTCGGCGAGCCGCCGATGCCTTCCAGGCCCGAAGTGACGTGACCGCCAATCCCCATTAAGCACCGAACAGTATTCCCCGGAGACCTCCTGTCTTCGCAAAACCCGCAAACTCACGAGACATGAGGCAACGCTCCCCTCTCATTTTCCGTAAGCTTGTGTGGTAGCACGTTTCACTCAACAACAAACTTCTGCGTGTCCTACGATTCGCGATGTTCTTTGGTTGATTCATTTACTTCTCGTCAATACACAATAGTCAATACCATTAATTCACTACCATAAATTTGTCATTGGCAAACTTATATCAATTAAAACTGGGCATAATGAGCGTTTCCAATAATATCGATGACACGTATTTAATGTTTACTAAATTGTTTCGTCATCCATTACTCCAATATGCTCTGAATTTCCGGAAGACGTCAATACTAGTCTTTTTATATTGTTTTCCCTCAACAGACCAAAAATCCTATTCTTAGGAGTCCGCCCACTCGTTCGAAATTAACAAATGTCGTTTTCTCACACGAACGTAACAGAGTTTGCCAAGACAAATGAGAGAAAACGAGTTGCGACAAATGGACCGTTTGTTAAGAAGCCCGTTGCTTCAGCAGTCTAGACATGCCTGAGTCCTTTGCGTTCATTTGTTCACATCACTCGGAGCAGCGAAGAACTTGCATTACGAAAAGTCCCGAAATTGTGCACATTCTTTCTTACGTATTCTAACTAAAATAGTCTGGGCAGACTGATGTATATCCTAATGTGTGCTGTAATATTAACTCATTCCTCGAAATATGTCTCAACATGAGAACTAAAGGCATTTAAACATAAGTACATGAAATGTGAATTAATATTAAAACAAATATTTAACTCGTTAAAGAATCAGTTCCTTAAATGTGCAACAAAAACATGTGAGTTGCACACCATTCATAGTTTTCAGAAAAAAAAGATGATAAACAAAAAAATTTTCTAAATAATCACTAAACTCTAAACCTAGACATCCATCATTTTGCGAAGAAATTAAATTGAAGTTAAACTAAATTGAAATGATACCGAAATTAAAAACCGTGTCTATTTTCTTTTATATGGGTTTCACGAACCACCGCATTGTCTTGGTGGCACCGAGACCTGCGATGAAGGCATTTCCCAATGTCAGCCTGTTAGTCCCACCCGTACGAAACTCCACCTTACTCTGGAACCGGTCGCCCAGCGACACACACGCGAACCCGGAGGGCGGAGTCGGCGAGAACTAGGGCACGCGCGTCAGCATTTTTTTCCTCGACCGCCCGGAGACACCTCCCATTCAGAGATAGACGTCTTGATACCTCTAGACGTAGAGCAAAGGTTCTTAGAAGGAGCGCCGGCTCTCCGAGGCGGAGAGACGAAGTATTAATTTAGATGTTCAGGGAGTGGCAGACGCTTGAAAAATGAATATTCTTCGCTGTATAATGGAACATGTCCCTGTATAATGGATAATTCCGCACAGGAGAATTCGTTAGTACCCAATTGAATGTAATCCAATCGGTAAAAGTGCGAGGAGAAGAAGAACAGAAAATTTAATAAAAAATGTTGATTGCTGAAAAGTATTGAAGCTTCGTCATCATGCTTATAATGGAAAATCTTACATGATTGTGATCTTATTTACGTAAAAATGTTAATTGCTAGTTTCAAATGATATCTAAATTAAACATTGTTTTAGTTCAGGCGAATCAGTTCTTTGACGAATAAATATTTCGATGTAATAAGATAATATATATATAATACAGATGAAATTAACCCCACTTCCTCTAGATTTTGATGGAAAATAATACTAAATTAATTTTGTATCGACGCGTTTCTCTTTCTACAATGATTTGAAGACGGTCAGATACAGTTATAATTCCAAGATCGTTGCCTCAAAGCAAAGCGTTACAAGATTTCAAAGTCTCCATTCTCTAGAGTTTCGACACTGCATGAGGGTATTCAGGTTGGGTATCTGCTCTTTCCAGCATTGAAATAATATGAACTTGCAAAGAGCCCTTAGGGAAAGAGTAAAGGCCGTCTAGGTTACATGTAAGCACAGCAAGGAGTAAATGACACAACTCACCTGCTCGGTGAACTCGCTCAAGTCCCTCAGGCTGATGTTGTATACGATGTTTCTGCAAAAAGACAAAGACCAGCTGTGAGTTACACTAACAAAGGAGACACATTGGAAAGAACATAAAAACAAAAACGTTGCATTTGTGCTTGGTTTATCAGAGATATAATGTTTGATAAAAATACATATACATCTAAAATTATGTATTTTATATTCGAAAAAGATTGAAAACTTTATAAGTTTTGTTATGTTCTATCATCAAGAAAGTATTGAAATTGCTTATTTTTCAGAAACAATAATATTAAACCTGTTATCAGTTTTACAAACCTCATGGCAGACGCAAGCATATTTTATTTTCGACATGGCTGCAATAATAATAATAATAAAATTATTATTATATTATTATTATATTATTATTATTATTATTATTATTATTATTATTATTATTAGTCATTTTGCACTGCGGACAACTCGTACGTTAGTAACGTCGTCAGGCGTTACGAATCGCGTACACACCTCCGACAACCCGAACGTGATTAAGGCCGTCAGCCGAAACGCACCCATGGCAACTGGAAAGTTACTATCCTCGCGGGCGGGCGTTTTCACCTGCACCGCCGCGAGCGCCCGTTTTTTTCGCGTCGTCGCCCGGGCCAGAGACACTCCACCTGCTGCAATGACCGCGCGGATTCGCCCAGACGGGAGGCGTTCTTTTCAGCTCCTCTGACAAACGGCGACGACACACCCTAATCGCGCAGTCGTAAACGCGACGCCAAGGGCCGTTTGCTTTGCATACTAATTCGCAAATCTGCTCCCCGCTGTGAATAGTACGTTATAATGGGGCATGAATGGCGACGAACTGGAGAAACCATGGTATAATTTAACGAATGAGAGCACAGAAAGCGGAGAGAGTGACGAGAAAGAATCAGTTTTGACGTGATTGTGATGCTCTCTAGTTCAAAAAGTTAAGTGCAATGATGAAAAATACGTGAAACATACAGCAAAACGTTTGAAGAAATAGAGCAATAAACGAGAGAAAGTAATCCAGGTGCACTAATCAGACGGTTACAAAATAAATTGATGAGAATTTCTCGTGAGGAAGTTGAATTTAGAACCATTTTAATTTCCAGTATAGATAACAGCAACAGTATTTCCAGTATAGATAACAGCAACAGTATTTTGGTTTAACTCCAGTTTCTATTTATAAGTAGTGTCAATTAGCACTGCGATATATACAAGAAATTGAATAATAGATAAGAAACGAGCTATAAATGCTATATATGACCCAAGAATTTTTTATTAAGTTGAGATAATAATAGAAAATTGGAAAAAGATCCTAAAACTAAAATCGAGCACAATAAATAGGGTTAGGAATCAATAATCTAATTATATTAAAATTAAAAACGAAAACCACACCTTTTGCATTCGCAAAATCGGAAAACAAAAAGAGGCGGAGAGGAAAGTTTCACATCGACGATTTCAATCGGAAACGTCAATAGAAAGAGAACCACGTCACTCGCGGTTATTGCTCGAACAACTCGCATTGCACCTGTCACGCATTTGTGAACGTCTAACCAACGTTTGGTGCATCAGTCTGGCAAACACAGAACCCCGCACGTGTCTCTTTTCAACTTGGTCGTTTCAGGGACATCATGAAAGGCGCCCGGGGCCATCACACGGATTGACGCCGCCGAAGCTACCAAGCCATCCTCTGATAGATCAGTATGTCGGTATTCAACATGCAACTATTTAGACACGCCATGTTAACCCGTCTAGTGCACCCATCTAGAGAAGTGCTAAAACCGTATTATGACCAGAAACTGTTCGGTTTATACATGCATCGGGTGTCGTGTAGTATCTCACAAATATTAAAGTACACAGTTTTTTATGCTTACAATGCATTTCTCTCACTCACGTCTACAAATGAAGTTACTTAAATTTGTTTCCGCTTTTGTGGACCATGAATATGCAATAATTTACTCACGCTACTTCGAATTTTCCACATGAACCACGCGGAGTAGGAACGAAAATTGAGGAAAATGGAGGTGATGGGCCGCAGCACGGTTTGAAAGCCAGCTTTTGTAACACACAGGAATCCCTTTTATCTCTCCACCTACGCGGGCTTCTTTACCTCACAAGCGTCGGTCCCCTTTTGCACCTTCCCCTCGACCGTGTTTATTCGTATTAAACAATATTCCATTAATCAAAGCAAAAATTTGCAATTTGCATACACGAGGGGGGGTGCGCCACTGAACAAAAGAAGGCCGCCGGCCCCACCACCCCTCCTCTCCCCCTGGGCGCGATTAGATGACGCTGCGAAGCAGGGACGTGGCGGACACAAAGGGAAGCTGACCAATTAAATTATGAATCAATTCGCGAACCCCACGAATCGGTCCGGGACAGCGGCAGCCGCCTGTCCGAAACGGCCACGCAAGAGAGACGGCGGTGAGTGGTGGAGAGGCGGTGAGTGGTTGGGGCGGAGACGGGGGTGAAGGCTGTGGAGAGGGGCGTGGAGGTGGGACTCGAGGCGAGTTTCGAGGCAGGAGAGGTAGCGGCCTGTCCGGAGCGGCGACGCTAGAGAGACAGGGGTGAAGGGGAGGGGGCGGAGGTGGCGGGGTGAAGAAGTGGCGAGGGCCGTGGCGGGATTCGAAGCGAGTTTCGAGCTGGGAAGGTGGACGTGAGCGGACGGCGGGCGTGAGTGGAGCGGCGGAGGGAGGACCGAAATGTCGGGGGTGGAGGCGAGTACGGAATGGTGATTTTATAGTTGAGGCTCTGCAGGCGAGAGGAGGCGGTAGAGAAGATGAAAAAGATGGGACGGTGGTGGTAGGAGGGGGGAGTAACGGGTGGGAAGGAGAGTCAAGCTCTCGGTTGGAGGCGTAGGCGGGAGTCCAGCCGGAAAGTGGGGCGTGGCGGGACGAGAGGGGCATCGCAGGTATACAGCGGCGGCGTGGCTCTGTTAAGCAACACTCTCAATCATATTTTGCTTAATTAAGGTTGGACACGCCTCGTGTGGGAAGCTGATGTGCGGCGGCTCCAGCTGACCAGTCCCCCGGGGCCCGCGTGGCGCTGGGCGCCAAAAGCGCGGAGCGGACGCAAATAAGCGATTAGCGCCGGGAAGCGAGCGAGGGCGAGTGCGTCCAAGATTGGAAGGGAAGGAGAGCAGAAGCCAGAAATGAGAGACACGGGAGATGAAAAGGCGAACACACGAGAATGAAGAGAATACGTCGGATGGTCGAGACCTGACCCAAGGTAAGAACGCGAAGAGGAAAGTGTTTTAAAGAAGAACGCAGGGATGGAACATCAAATACTTATAATGCAAAAAAAAAAAAAATGATGAAAAGGGGAGGGAGAATACGGAATACTAAACGCAAAAATGCACGTGGAAAAATTAGGAAAATGTAGGAAAGTACACGTGAGAAAAGTGGATAAGAGTGGAAGGAAAGAATTTGCAGCAAAGCGTAGGGATGGACAAAAAGTGCGGTCCACGCGACTGCATTATCCTCCGGTGTACCGCTCCATCCGCCAACGCGCCCACCGCCCGTGCCAATCACTCGCAGCCTATTAAAAGGGCCCCTCAGTCAAGGCAGTGCGCGGATCACTGCGTGCTTGTGTGCCCGATCGCCCCGCGACTGAGAAGTCGTGCCGTCGCACGCGCATGCCCCCCCCCCCCCCTCCCGCCCGGCAACCGCTCGGTGTTTGGCGCTCGCTCACGGTTCTCTAAAACAAATGAACGGGGAAGCAACAGCGGGCGCACCCCCTTTTATTGCAACCGCACGTACACGGCTGATCTGGTTTCACTGGGGCACTGCTGACCTGTGGAGTTTCCAACGCGATGTACCGCTCCGCGGGCCACGCAAACAATCGGGACACGTGCATTAGAACCAACACACACCGCACATGACAAAAAGCTAACAATGTTGTCGGTAAATATATGTGAGTGCCTGTTAGAAGACGATGTGTCGGCTTTAATGTAATGAAATATTGAGATAGGTGCTCCTAGTAGTAAACTGTGAGGCTCTATATTAAATACAGTAAATAAAATATGGTAACAAGCAGGTATCGTCTGGGCAATTATGTATTGATAAAAAATTGACGTAACGTTGAGTCATGACTTAGATCACGTACGTACTTTTTGCATTGTTTGTTACAGGTGCAACGTAACATCATAGCTTAGATGTTTAAAATCACCATTCTTTCCTTGACATTTTTTCTTGAAATCAGCCTTGGATTACGGAACAAAGAGAAAAGAAGACGCATTTCGCAGTAGCCTTTTCAATTTGCACCCCATGCAACCGTATTTACCAGTATTATACAACAGAATCCTTGGACATTGCACTGTCTCGTTGCCTAACGTCATTTTTCTGAGCAATTCAACAAGGACAATATCGCACAGGCCTTGACTGCCCGTAAATGCCTAAGCCTCATGAACGTGAATACGCGTATCTTGGCAAAACCATTGTAGATTTTTCAATCTCATCACACAACTTCATAAATTCCGTACTTACGTCTCTTGGAAAAACGTAATAGTTTATTAGCCAAATAAATAACATGTTTATTTTATCTCCAACAGCGAACTAATCAGAATTCGGAGCGAACGACAGTGAAATGCGGAATTTCTCTAATCAGAAAACATCCAACTGTTTACATTCCTCTCCTTGTTTTATTCGTTTCAAAGCGATGTTACATTATCGCCCTCATCGTACAAGAGCCCTGAATGCTCCATAAAAACAGCCATCGTATTTTCTCGTAGATGTTACGATTTCGAAATTTTTATAGCCGCGTTAAAGAAAGAATATATCGCGCAGGAAAAGATTTCTTCGAGTGCAACGAACCAACTCGATCAGTCGTGTTCTCACTGCACCCGCTCGGTAATCCAAGCGACCTCCACTCCACACTGAGTCATCCTCACGGCCAATTAACACAACGCGTGAACCCTAATTGACAGAGTAATTAATGACCGGTAGGGCCTGCACCGGAAGGCCATTATTGGCGTCAATGACACCTCTCTCTGAGCGTAGTTTGAAATTACTGAGCATTATCCTTCATAATCTACCATTCAGCCAA